TTATGTGAATTTTTGGGGAATTGTCGTGTTTCCTTGTATAAATTTTACAGTTACGTACCCACACGTTAAATTTAGGATTTGCACTTCTAGCGGCAGCTTTGGTTTGTTTTAGCAGCTTTTTATTAGACGGTTATGAGGTGTTCATTAACATATATATTTCGCGACTCTCCTGGGATTCCTATGTCGATTGTAGTTAAACTCTTCTTCGTTCGTATAGCAGAGATGATGCTGTCTTTCAAGAGGATTGATTTTAGTTGAACCACAATATTTTTTGGTAATTTATTGTCGCTGTCACGTGATTTAACACGATTGGCATTAATTAAGTCTTCGGCAGATAAATCTATCCCCGTGTATTTGCCTATTGCAATAATGTAGTCCGAGATAATTTCATTCTTTTTTTGATCTCAATGTTCATGGCGCGATCACGTTGCTGCATGTAATATAATAAAAATACGAGGGTGGATTGAAAAGTACTCGCCCTAACACAGATCCATTCAATTCTAAAAATCAAATCTACCCACATTATTTAGTTCAGTTCAGACTAGTTCATTGTGTGAAGTTCGAAACGTGTGCGATAATTAGTTGTGATTTTATAAATTTATTAACAAAGTAATCGGACATAATTTCCGCGAATGGAGCAAATCGAGCAGCGTGCCGTCATTAAGTACCTATGGAGGTAGTAGAAGGGGCTATCATCAAAAGCCATCCATGATGACATGGTCAGTACATTAGGCGATTGTGCTCTGTCATATTCATCCGTCAAAAAATGGATAGCAGAATTTAAGCGTGGTAGAGAGAGTGTGAAAGATGAACCCCGCTCTGGAAGGCCTTCGATGTCAACTACTGACGAAAATATTAAAAAAGTACTTGATTTAATAATGGGAGACCGCAGATTAAAAATTAGAGAGATAGCCGAGATTATAGGCATCTCTTATGAACGAACTCAAAACATCATTGTCAACGAGTTGGGTTTCCACAAGGTGTCTGCGAGGTGGGTTCCGCGACTGCTTTCAGTTGAACAAAAAAGGACGCGATTGACTATTTCACGCGACTGTTTGGAGTTATTTGAAGCCGATGCAGATGATTTTTTGAATCGTTTTGTTACTATGGACGAAATATGGGTTCATTACTGTACACCGGAAACAAAACAACAATCAAAACAGTGGAGAAGACCTGGTTCACCGCCCCCTAAAAAGGCTAAGTCGATTTTGTCGGCAAATAAGGTGATGGCTTCAGTATTCTGGGACTCGAAAGGTGTGATTATTATTGATTATCTTGAAAGGGGTCAGAATATAAACTCTGATTACTACTGCACCTTACTACGTCGTTTACGAGAGGAAATAAAAGAAAAACGTCGAGGAATGCTCAGAAGAAAAGTCCTGTTTCATCAAGATAACGCCCGTATTCACACGTCAGTACAGTCAATGGCTGAAATTCACAACTGTGACTTTGAACTGTTACCGCATCCGCCGTATTCACCTGATCTGGCACCATCAGACTTCTTTCTGTTTCCTAACCTAAAAAAGCACTTGGGAGGTCAAAGATTTTCGACAAACGACGAGGTCAAAGCAGCTGTAGACGCATATTTTGACTCTAAGGAAGAATCATTTTTTTTTCAACGGTCTAAATGCTTGGAAGGGGAGGTGGCAAAAGTGTATTGAACTTGATGGTGATTATGTAGAAAAATAAAAATATAACTGATTTAGTATTTGTTTATTTTCTTGGTTAGGCCGAGTACTTTTCAATCCACCCTCGTAAATAATATAATCATTTTTCAGAGATTCATATTTTTCTCGCAATTCTGACACATTTTGCTGCAGCAGATCAACCTTTTAGACTTCTGATACTACATTATCAATACGTGTTGTCAGAGTGGTTTGTTCGGCTGAATGATAAGTTAATGAGTTTTTCAATTCGGAAATATCATTCATCATCTCATTATGCTCACGAGTAATTTTCACAGTACTAATTTTTATAGATTCCAGCTGTTCCCTTATTATCGTGACGTCATCCTTTACTCCTTTAACTTGAGACACTTCATCTTTCAAACTTTTAAATTCTTTCTTCTGTGACTTCCCAAAATTATTAAAGAATTCCATTATTTCAGTTTTGAATTCCGTAAGCTGAGAAGACGACACGAAATCAGCATCTATTTGTTTACGTCGTCTATGTGTTATTTTTTGTTAATCGTGAGTAGGCAAATCAGTGTTTGAGCCACTCATGGATCCACCACTAAGAGGTGAGCCCGCTCTAGAATCGGGTGGTGACCGCTACACGCTCATGTTAAGATGGTTAACGAGTATTAGCACTATGTATGTAAAAACTATGCGTGTGCTCAGGACGAAAAATCGCTGGTTGTCTCCATTACTCGAGGAGGTGAGACAAAGGGCAGCACTGGCAGCACGTCGCACCGTTGTATTATGCGGTTATAATAGGAATTAAGTGACAAAAAACTAATATTACTAGATTGAACTTTATGTACCACTTAATTAGATTCGAAATATAAATCACGTTAAAATTAAGTTTTTATTTTATTATTAAAAATCCACAACAATTTACGATACGTCTACTTCGCGCGATGTGAATATGTTACGAGTTGAGTATGAGTTACCTGTATGCTGTAAAATCTATCGAATACTGCAGTTTCATTTATCGTCTAACAGCCATGAGATTAAGAGTGTGATCGGAGAGTTTTTGTGTTCGTTTGCGGCGGGTCTTGTAAAACTTAGCTGGACAGTTTCCATGAGCTTGTCATTCAAATCGTCCACTGCATTGGACACTGGCATTTTTAGGCACTGAAAACGGTTTTGTAGCTCGAGCTGAAAGGTTTCGGGACTTTGGATTAGAGCACGATTTGGATTAGAGGGGATGGAGCGTTGACTTCATTAGACGAGAAATCTTCAACTTAATGTTTAGGTTCAGTGTGCCTCTCACCATTTGGTGATCGCTACCAGTTTTAATTATTGCGATCACTGAGACATCACTGAACAGTTGCCGTCTGGTCGTTATAATAAAGTTAATTTCATTTTTTGTAGAATTGTTAGGGCTCGATTAGGTTCACTTTTTGTGAGGCTGCTTCTGGAAGAAAGAGTTTATCAGAAAGAGTTCCTTTTCTTCTTGAGGTCGGTCAGTTGTTGGGCTTTTGAGTTTCGTTGCCCTAATCCGAATTTTCTTATTCTTAGTTTGACGTTCTTCTTGTGCCTAGTTTTGCGTTGAATTCTCTTATTAACACTGTATAGTGGGTTTTGGAGGAATGCATGGCTTTAGAGGTATCTTCAAATGTTTTCTCCCCAGGATGTGCCGAGGTTGGTGCGTAAACCTGTATGACCTTTAACGAATATCGTTTGGTGATTCTGAGAATAAGTACGTAACCTTCGTGGACATTCGTTTCCCACACACAAGCGGCTTGCGGTGGCGGCTAACCGCGAGCCGCGGCTTCAGCTGCTGCAACAACACATCATCGTGATCTCAGCGGCGGCTTGAATCGCTATTCGCTCTGGTGTCTGTGCTACTGTACGATGTCAGTAAACATGACTAATCGTGACGAAGTCTTACTATGTTCAGTATTATTATCATATCGAGTATATTTTGTTTTTAATCCTAATGCTTTTGTTACCACGATGCGAATTAGCATAAAGTACTGTATAATTTCGCAGTGTTTGTATTGAAATCTCTGTATTTAGTGGCATTTTTCGCGCCTATTGCAAAAGTTAGCAAGTGAAGAGATGTTGCATCCCTTTGCATTTTCTTCAACATCTACCACAGGGAGTGCTCTGAGAAATTTTTCGAATTAATCCCAGGCGCCAAATTTCACGAACGCACATCGCAGCAGACCTCCCGATACCATCCACACCATCTGGATGATTGACGATCCACCACTGTGCGATTTAAAACTTATTTTCTTCCTCGCACGACTTCCTTCCACTGTGCGATTTAAAACTTGTTTTCTTCCTCGCACGACTTCCTTGTGGAATCGATTACCATCAGCGATTTTTCCGGACCGATACGACTTAGGGACCTTCAAGAAAATAGCCTATTCCTTTTTAAAAGACCGGCAACGCATCTGCAATTCCCCTGATGTTGCAGTTATTCATAGGCAACGATAGTCACTTACCATCAGGTGAGCCGCATGCTCGTTTGCCCCTACTCCTATAAAAAAAATCATGTCATCTACTTCTCTTCTGACCTATAATGTCCCAGCGCAACTTGTCTATCTCTTCTTCCAACTCCAGGATCTTCTCGTCAGTCCTCAAGGTGCATTCTATTTTATAAAATAAGGGTGACAAACGAGCACAAAGTCCACCTGATGATAAGTGGTTACTATGGCCCATACACGTCTACATCCTATCTTCGTTTACAGATGCCTTGTCAGCCGTGAGGACTAACATAGAATGCCTCTTTTCCAGTAAAAAGGATCTCCGGTTATCTACACTCACCATACACTTCACAACAGCATTAAGTTGGTATTTTATGCTGGTATCCTGTGAGAACGTGGTCCTTCCTCGGTCGAGCCGATACATTCGTGCTATAACTATACTATTCATGGCATGGCCCTACCACGTACAAATTTTTTTATTGTAATTTGCTGATATCAGAAAGATGCTGCTGCCCATCTTCTGTCTCAGTTTCCTTCTGTCATGATTGAGTCAGTGATAAGTGAAATACCACTGACTCAATCATGAGATCTCCAAAACTATATCTGATACTATATAAGATATACGCCCTATTGGCATATATTTCTTTTTTGACGCAAAACCCTTTTTACTTGAAACATGGCATTTCATCTTAGTCCCCAAGAAGAACAACGCATCCGCATTTTGATTCATAATCGAATATAAAAGTAAATGTCTATGGGCCGCAGCATCCACTTATTATCAGGTGGACTGTGTGCTCGTTTATCACCCTTATACTATAAAAAAAAAAGACACCACTAAGAAAGATGTGAAATAGGGTGTTACAATTTGTATAAATATAAAAAAATATATGATCACATCACTCACAGTCACTGCTACACTGGCAGAACTTTTCACAGAAGTTCTGCGACTGCAGACACGGGCACAAGTTATCGCACGGCTGGTTCGGATGGTCACAAGGCGTGTAGTTGTAACTGTAACAAAAATAATATATGTAACATGTGACAACAAAAACATAACATCCTTACAAACTTCGTCATCATAGATGATGATGATGATGAAGCGATGAAGTTTGTGTAACAGCCCTTCACCAGTCCACTGCTGAATAGAGGCCTCCCCCAAGGAATGCCACAAAAAACAGTCCTAAGCCATCTGTATCCTATCGACTTTCTGCATCCCTTACCAGGTTATCATTTCATTTAGTGTAGTACCGCCTTACACTTCGTTTAACGAGGCTGCCACTCGAGAACCTTTATTCCCCATTTGTTATACAACAAACAAACACAATTAATTATTTTTTAGGTAGGTGTTTAGGTAGTTTTTATAGAAGTTTAGAGTGACTGAGTCCACCTCGTATTGAGTGAATACTGTGGCCCAGAATCTCGATTCAGAATCAACTCCGTAGCTGCGACAGAAAATCTGCGCTGCGGTAACTCTGTTACTGTAGCATTATGCCGATTCATTGGGCGTTTTGTTTGGGCAATTCATTTCTTTTTTTATTCATACTTTGTTGAGTATTGTTTATTTTTTTTGTTTGTAAATCAATGTTTTGTAAAAGCAAGTTGCAGCAATAAATAAATATGTTCATTTTTTCTTTCTTTCACTTTTCCAACTTATAGCCTAAACTAAAAGTTATAGCCTATCAAAAGAATCATTAAAACCGGTTCACAATCTTCGAAGATATCATATTTACAAAAAATCCTGTCAAATTGGAACTTCCTGTTTTTTCTAAGTTGGTTAAGGATCGGATGGTGCACTCACACGTGATGCGAGGCGGAGTCCTTCTTGAGCTGTATCTTGCGGCAGTGCACGGACCAGAGCCGGTGCTTCTTCTTCTTCTTCCTGGGCGGCGTCAGCTCCGCCTCCACGCGGCACTCCTCCTGCCCCGTGTTGATCCAGTACGCGTACACCTGCAGATCATTCAATCATATATCAAATAACAGCTCAATGCTTCTGTGCTTCGTATGGTGAGTGTAGATAACCGGAGACCCTTTTACTTCAAACGAGGCATTCTATCTTAGTCCTGACGGGTAACAACGCATCTGCATTTTGATTATTAATCGATATAAATGTAGATGTCTATGGGCCACAGCATTCACTTACCATCAGGTGAACCGCACGCACGTTTGCCCCCTCTTAAATAAAAAACAAAAAAGTTGTTCACGGGTGGCGGTCGGCACTTACCAATAAGTGAGCCGCATGCTCGTTTGTCTCGTCTTCCATAAAAAAGCCTGCCCCATAATGTCAGTGCTCGCGCTAGGTAGATCGGGTTGACAAACACAGTTTTTTATTAATTTGAGTTGTTAGCAAGAAGATGATGATGCCCGACTCCTGTTTCATTCACCTTTGTAGCCTCTTACGATACCTACCGATAATATGGGGTAATGGATATCTTCACACCGTCACTACAATGTAGTTTGTGAAGTGTTTAGTTGGTGGTGGTGTCTATCCTCGTGCAGTGGTGTTGGGAGTAGTAGTGCTGGTATAAGTGGTGACGGGGATAGTGCACGCAATTGAGGGAGGGCGGGAGGTGCTTTTCAAACTAGGTAATACATATCATTTTATTTTATTAGCTAAATAGTTTGTAGCGGACGGCGAAGGAGGCCGCCGCCCCGTCGCCCCTTCACACCCCGGTGCGCCCCGCGCACCCCGCACACCGGCAGCAGATCACGCGATGTCGCCGACCAATCAGCGCGCGGCATCGCCTTACGACGCTACTCACAAACCGAAATGCTCTCTTGCGGGATATAAGAAGGGCGTTTTGGTCTGTGAGTTGTTCATTCATTCGGAAGCGACACTGGAAGAAACCTCAAGAGAAGAATCAAGACTCCATAGAAATTAAGAAGACTCCCCTCTGTATATAGTGTAGTTAATAGTGCCGCATTGTAAATAGTTTGAATACAGTATAGTTCGACAGTACCATCTTTTCTTTGAGCAGTCCCCTAGGGTAGTAATTAGTCACTCATACAGTCCACTTGCAATAGTAAATTCATACAGTCCATTTCGATCCATTATATAGTTTTTAACATCTTTATTAAAATAAATATTTGCCGTATGGTATATGTATATACTACATGTAAAATACCCAGAACGAGTAGCGTTATAGGTACGAGACGTCCGGTACCGCGATCGACATCGCCGATTACGTTGAATCTTACAACGGGAGAGACCCATGTCTAGAATTGGACTGTTACGAGCTAAGAAAATTAATGGTTTTTTTATTATTCTATTATTTGCGCTTAACTACAATCCCACCTGATGGTAGTGGTGATGTAGCCTAAGATGGTGAAGCGCATTGACTTAACAAAAGCCTATATTCACTGTTGCCTTGAAGACACCCACACTATAATCGGGTGGAAAGACAGGATGCTGGCAACTTATTCCGCTCATTTGCTGTACGCATGATGAACGATCTAGCTAACCGTTTGATTCGAATGCGTTTTAAGTCAACAACGAAAGGGTGGAGACTAACCGAACGTCTGGTTGGCCGATGGCGGAAGGGAGAGGGAGAAATAAAATTATACAATTCCTGCGCACACTCTCCGAAATGCATCCTGTAGAAAGCCGAAAGGCTGGCTACTTTGCGCCTGTGTTCGAGGCTGATAAATTCGGGTCACTAATAAGCCTCTTAGCACGCCTTTCCATTAAGTCCAAAGCTGCTAGGTGGCATTTTGTAGCACCAGCCCATATATGGCAGCAATACTACATGCACGACCAGACTTGCGCTTTATATAAAGTTAGCAGCTGTCCCGGCGTGAAGTATCGCCGCACCTTTGCACGGACTCCCAGCTTCCTTGCAGCTGCTTTGGTCTTTTACTCAATGGACCGCCCGAAGTTCAAATTTGAGGATATTTCAAGCCCTAAAAACTGAAGGCGATCGGTATATTTCAGTGATACATTTCGGAAAGAAGGAGCCAAGCTGAGCTGGCTCCTTTTTGCAGTGAAGAGACACGCTTGTGTTTTGGAGGCGTTGAACTTCACAAGATTGGCATCGCCCCAATCGGAGACTGCCTGTAGTGTGAGATTCACACGCTCTACCATAGTTTCTCTTTTGGACTGGATTTGATCCCGACTGGCCCGACGACTTGGTTGGTATCTCTCACAACTGTGCTATCGTCTGCATACCCAAATATATACCCAAATATATACCCAAATATTGTTCTTGCATTTTTGCAAGACCAAGACCAAGAACAAGACCGCCTCTTTTTAGCAAGACCAAGACCAAGACTGACCGTGCAAGATTTGAGCAAGAACAAGACTTAGCTTGCGAGACTCTTGCGTCTTGCAGTTAGGACTAAGTGTCGTTTCAGGGAGTATAGGAGTTCGGGTATACGCTTAGGAACTCTATGAGACGCAAAAAATATAATGAAAAAAAAATTGGAAAATTGGACTTATGCGCATTACGAACAATACCATAAATATACATAGCGAATGAAAATATCCATTAAAAGAAAAAAGAGTGCATCCCTAGTTTTGACCATCGGCACTTTGATAGTGCGCGGCGTCTTGTTGTCGGCGTCATCAAAGGTCGGATACTGACCTGTCAAAGAAATTGTGCAGCTATTCGAAAGTACAAGGTCAAGATACACGTGCCGGCGGCTACTATTGATATCGCATACAATCGTTGCCGCCGCGTCGCACGCACTACATTTGACACTGTTTGATTGCCGCCACAGAGTACATGTTTCAAAGAATAAAATAAGTTTCCGGGTGCTCAGAATGGACACGAATACATTATACTGATCTCGCAAGAAATATTGTAATTAGATAATAATTAGGTATCATAATAATTTATTCTAGTAAGTAATCATTATAAAATGAACTATATGGATTTATAATAATTACTTACTATTATTGTTATTATTATTACCTAAAAGATAAACATGTTCAGTAAGTTCACTGCAAATCTCGACTTTTGCAAGTGTGTGTTTTTAAAACACAAAGTGCTCGAATATGTCGTCACACATTTGATAAATATGGTTGACACCATAGCACTTTTAAAACACTTGAAATGTGTAAAAATGGATCTGGATCTTGTCTTCAAGACTTAGTTATTAAGGAGTTGAAGGGGTACCTAGGTAAACCCAGAGCCGTCATCTCGGAGGACATTTTAGACTGTTGGAGGACGCATGAGACAAAATATCCGATTTTATCGAAGATGGCCCGTGATTTTCTTTTAATATCTGCAACTTCAGTACCTGCTGAGAGATTATTTTCTAAAGCATCATTAGTAATTAGAAAACATAGAAATAGGTTAAGTGATGAGTCAGCCAGATGGTTACTTTGTATTAACGCTTTGTCAAAAGAATAAATATAAAGTAGGTAACAGTAATGTCAAAGCTGTTGTGTACATACTGTGAAGTAATTTAATTTGCATCGTATTTTATTTTTTATTTAAATAAATGGTATATTGTATAACTCGTTTATTCCATTTCATATATGGTGAGGGTCCATCAATCTCTTTCTAGAGAGATATTGTTATTTAAAATACAGTGTAGTTATTGCCATTAATTTGTTTTTATATGTATGTTTAACCATGTTTTAGCACATGTAAGCTTATTAAATGTAAACGTTTATTAAGAAACTGACGCCCATGGCCGTGGGACACGGTAGATAGCTCAGTTGGTTAGAGCATCGGCACGGACCGCTTAGGTCGTGGGTTCAAACCCCACGCGGTGTCAGTTGATTTTTCGAATTTCTCATTAAATGTTTAGACATTTATGGGAAAATCTAAGGGTTATCGCTGACTCCGGAATCCACCACATATCTAACTGGCTAAGATCAAACCTTCTGACCCTAAATATTAATAAAACTAAATTCATTCCTTTTTCTATACGGAAAAATACACAACCTGATTCTAATTTTAATCTAACAGTTCATACCTGCCATAATCCTTATTTAAATAGCCATAGTAATTGCTCATGTGATAAAATCACCAGGACTAGTACCATTAAATATCTCGGTGTAACTATTGATCAGCATCTTACATGGAGTCAGCACATTGAAAGCATCGCTGACAGGATAAGAAAACTAACATGGGTGTTCAAAAAACTCAGGTGTGTTGCAAATGAAACGACCCTCATTACCATCTACAAAGCTCTTGTGCAATCGGTACTGAGTTATTGTATACCTGTTTGGGGTGGTGCAGCAAAAACACGTATAATAGCACTAGAAAGAGCTCAAAGATCTCTAATTAAGGTAATGTTCTTTAAACCGTTTCGATTTTCAACTTTTGAACTACATAAGTCTTATAAATTGCTCAGCACTCGCCAGATTTATATATTGAATTGCATCCTAAACACTCATCGACATTTACCTTATATACGTCATCATACATCAAAACGTAGGAGCACCAAAATTTGCCATATACCACAAAATAAAACAAAATTTAAGCAAAAACAATACGCATTCCAATCCATATCTCTTTACAATAAATTTAACAGCAGATTGCATATTAACCCCCTGACGTGGACTAAAGTCAAACGTGTAGTAACACAATTTTTATTAACACTAAACTACGAGGAAACTGAACAATTTATTACTTAACTTTTATACTTGGAACAGCCTCACCAGTTGTTAAAGCACTGCTCACATACCCACAACACACACACACACACACACACACACACACACACACACACACACACACACACACACACACACACACACACACTTATTATATTATAAATTACATTACTCCCTAATGCTAGCGCATGCCTTGCCTTTTGTTATTTATTGATTAATATTGTATAGTCTTGGTGGATGAGCGGGGTACCCAGTAACACAGGTAACCAACCTAGTACAGGGGCCCTTGCGACTGCTTTAAATTGTATCATTGTAAATCAATAAATCATTTTTCATTTTTTTTTCTTTTTTTTTCATTTATTAATATGGTTGGTCTTTACTATGGCTATGTTAATTCAAGCTCAATATGTACCTACTCTGTTAAGTTGTTCTAAGATCTAAAGTAGTTTAATAAATAGTAATAGGCTAATAGGTCATTGCGAGACTTGCGAGACTCTTGCTGCAAGACCAAGACCAAGACTGGGAGCGCAATACCAAGACCAAGACCAAGACCAGGTGTATTGGCGCAAGACCAAGACCAAGACTTGCTAAGTCTCGTCTTGTTCTTGCATTTGGGCAACACTAGTGGAAGGAAGAGGGAGGAATTAAATTACACAATTCCTGTGCACTCTCTCCGAAATGTGATATAGAATACCGAAAGGCTGGCTACTTTGCGCCTGTGTTCAAGGCTGGTAAAATTGGTTTTAACCAAATTCGGGTCACTAATAAGCCTCTTAGCACGCCTTTACATTGCGTCCAAAGCAGCAAGGTGGCATTTGCAGCACCAGCCCATGTATGACAGCAATACTCTACTAACTCTATTCCATGTTAAACACGTTTCTCTCCTTTAAGCCGTCTTCAAACCGGTTGCAACGACGACCGTTTTCTGCAACCGTTTTCGTCGTCGGCAAAACGATTGCGTTTAGTCCGTCAATAATTCGACAACGACTCACCACTAGGTACTCTTTAGCCTTATGCGCCAGTGTGCCATCCGGTTTTACCAGCGGAGACAGTGTAGGCCGATAGAAATTTGTCTCGACCGCTTTGGCAAGAGACCAAAAAGCTCTAGTGACAGATGGTCTCGCAGGGAGTTTTGCGCCAATATGCTTAATGCGGTCGAGACTGGCTTTCCGTAATGCTTTTTTGTAGGATTTGGCGGCCTGGTTGAAAGTTCTCTTCTTGGAACTGATATTTTTTTTATAGAATAAGGGTGACAAGCGAGCACCACTCACCATACGAATCACAGCAGCATTAAGCTGCTATTTTACGCTGGTATTCTGTGAGAGCATGGTCCTTCCCCGGTCGACTCTACCACGTAAAAATCTCCGGAGCTTTGCGATTTTGAGCGTCAACCTAGGATAGGTACGCTAAATTTTTGCGTTTTTCAGCTTGGGCGCATTCAGCGTTAAGCCATGAGTGAGCTTTGCTAATGGTGGCAGCTTCAGAAAAGAGGATAATATACTCCATTTCTTGACGCAACACATCGGTTACCGCATCCGCGCACCTCGACTGATCCACAGAAGACAAACAAACCTCCCGCCAAGGATAAGATGCAAAAAAGTGTCGCATCTCATCCCAATCAGCTGACTTATACCGCCATGTTCGTCGAACATCTTGGAACTCGTAATTAGAAGGAGAATATGACGATACAGATTTCACCAGTCAATAGTTAGATGTATCCAAAGGGGAGGTTACCTGAACTTCATACCTGTCTGGTTCAGTAGTCAGCAGAACGTTCAAGCAATTGGCTGTGTGACCGTCTACATCGGGTACCCTAGTCGCTTCCTTTGCCAGCTGAGAAAAACCTAACGTCAAGGCGAAATTCCACGCTTCTCTTCCAGCATTGTCGGTCTTCTGGTATGGGAACAGCCAGTCTTGGTGACAGGCGTTAAAGTCCCCCAGAAAGACCAGCTGTGCAGTAGGATACTGAGTTAGGGCCACGTCAGCAGCCTCACTAAGGTGATAAAATAATCGTGTTGTCTCCCGACGACCAAGCACCCAACACAGCAACAACTGACGCTTCGCACCCGGTTCACACATACAACGCTACTGTTCAGACTCATTCTCCATATGGCTTCACCAAGCATCAGCCGGAACACGACAACGTCATTTAGCGACAAGAAACAAGAAAATTTTAATAAAAAAATAACCGTGTAATAACTTAACAGTGTAGCGGCGATGTAAGAATAGAATAGAATAGAATGATTTTTATTCAATATTGATTATTATAATACTCATAATACTTATTGAAAGTCATTTTTTTATTTACCACTGGTTCGGAAAATATCTCTGTCCTGGGAAGAACCAGCAAGAAACACACTACCCCACTACCAAGAATATCCACTACCCCATATCGTCCCGTGGGTGTCGTAAGAGGCGGCAGAGGGAAACTGAAACATTAGATGAGCAGCAGCATCTTCTGTTTTAGTCTGAGAAATAATAAAATAATATGTTTCGAAGACGTGAAGTTCGCCATTACGCATTGGGGCAGCGCGGCGGACATTTCCTTGCACTAAAACCATCTCAGACATGAGAGGAGGCCTGTGCCCAGCAGTGGGATGTGTATAGGCTGTAACTATTACTATAAAAAGGTAAAGATTAAAGAAGAAAAATGATCACCTGTTGGCACGTCTTGGACAGCATGACTTGAGCGATGGCGCAGTAGTTAGAATGGAACACCTTATGCAGAGCTCTAAACAACGACTGGTCCGAGCCCGTCCACTCAGAGTCTATATCGCCCACCGTCAGACCTGAAACCATTATAATTCATTTGATATATTTATGAATTTAGTGTTTCAAATTTAATCCAATTCTCTACAGCTCTACATGTGTAGCTCCTAAGTTTTGTTAACTTAGTTCTAAGATATTTTTTTTATACAAATGGTGACAAACGAGCACACAGTCCACCTAATAGTAAGTGGATGCTGTGGCCCATAGGCTACATCAATCTTTAATTAAGAATCGATATTCATAATGCGTTGTCACCTTTGAGGACTAAGATGAAATGCCTCATTTCCAAAAATAAGAATTATGGACTGAGGTAGTCTCAATCATCAGCAGTAACACCTGTGTATCATCCTTAAGTTTAAAGTTTCAGAAGCTTATATGCTAACACCTGATGGCAAATGCACCTATAATTCATTTTTGGGGCAATGTATACACTATTACATCAAAGTCCCAGAAAATATACAAAGTCTATTACCAAATTTAAATATTTGATTAAACAAAAACTGTATAAGAAGGGTTATTATAATATGAATGAATACATGGTTGGTAATATCTCCTGGGAATGAGGTGGTCGCTTCCAAGCAGTTTCAAAAATGTACATAATTTGTACAACCTATCATCTTATTGTATAATTTACTTTTTTTTTAAAAAGTCCCGCTGAGTTTCTTGCTGGTTCTTACCTGAACAGAGGTTTTTATCCGAACCAGTGGTAAAGAAAAAAAATGACTTTCAAGAAAAATTCATGTAACCTATATTGAGTAAAAAAAAATCTATTCCATACTGACTAACGGCCTCGTTTGTCTAGTGGTTGCAATTGCTAATCATGAGGTTCGAATGCTGTTGGTCTTGCATCTGATCTCTCTCCGGTCGTGTCAGATTACTATCCCATCAAACTATGAGTGTGAGGGAATAGAGAGTTCTTACCTGGACAGAGGAATTTATCCGAACCAGTGGTAAAGAAAAAAAATGACTTTCAAGAAAAATTCATGTAACCTATATTGAGTAAAAAAAATCTATTCTATACTGACTAACGGCCTCGTTTGTCTAGTGGTTGCAATTGCTAATCATGAGGTTCGAATGCTGTTGGTCTTGCATCTGATCTCTCTCCGGTCGTGTCAGATTACTATCCCATCAAACTATGAGTGTGAGGGAATAGAGAGTTCTTACCTGGACAGAGGAATTTATCCGAACCAGTGGTAAAGAAAAAAAAATGACTTTCAAGAAAAATTCATGTAACCTATATTGAGTAAAAAAAAATCTATTCCATACTGACTAACGGCCTCGTTTGTCTAGTGGTTGCAATTGCTAATCATGAGGTTCGAATGCTGTTGGTCTTGCATCTGATCTCTCTCCGGTCGTGTCAGATTACTATCCCATCAAACTATGAGTGTGAGGGAATAGAGAGTTCTTACCTGGACAGAGGAATTTATCCGAACCAGTGGTAAAGAAAAAAATTACTTTCAAGAAAAATTCATGTAACCTATATTGAGTAAAAAAAAATCTATTCTATACTGACTAACGGCCTCGTTTGTCTAGTGGTTGCAATTGCTAATCATGAGGTTCGAATGCTGTTGGTCTTGCATCTGATCTCTCTCCGGTCGTGTCAGATTACTATCCCATCAAACTATGAGTGTGAGAGAATGGAGATTGCGCATACACTTGGGCACTATAATCTTGTCATCTTTCATCATCTTTCTTTGAAATTTGTTACAGGTGTCCATGGACTGCAGTTGCTACTTACAATCAGGTGGACTGTAAGTTGGATGTCACTTTTGCTTTACAACAAAAAAAATTATGAAATATAAAACATACCCAGTGCGTTGTACGCGGCGTCCGCGGTGGAGTCTGCGGGCTTGTTCTGGCAGCCCATGGAGCTCCAGTTGCTGTTACTCGAGTTACTGTTACTACCTGCAGAGAAAAACATCAACTTTTTTTAACAGAAGTAAATCATGATGACTGTCGATTATATATATATATTTTATAGAGTAAGGGTGACAAACGAGCACACCTGATTTTTAGTTGCTACTGTGGCGCATAAAACATCTACGTTTATACTCGATTAAGAATCAAAATAAAGATGCGTTGTCACCCTGAAGACTAAGATGGAATGCCTTGTTTCCAGTAAAAAGGGTCTCCGGTTCTCCACACTCGCCATACCAAAACACAGCAGTGTTAAGCTGCTATTTTACGCTGGTATTCTGTGAGAACGTTGTCCTACCCCGGATGAGTCGACCCATTCGTGCTGCAACCATAATATAGCTGCAAAATGGCTCTACTACATAAAAAATATATGTAATATGTAATATAATAAATATCACAATCAATGTGTGGTACAAAGCTCGCAGAAGTTGTGAACCGCGAGGTCGGTTAGTCGAACCAACGCGGCGACTTTTGTATCATCTGTAAGCAAAAATAATTTGTGGCCACAATTTTTAATGAGTTTAGGAAGCCTATTTTCGTATCAACTCTTGAAGAACAGATTTCCCGGAGAAGCTTCGCCCAATAAAAAAAAGTTTAAACAAATACCCCTTTACTATAAACATGTTTGTTCTTTGGAAGTTAGAACATGAAATAAATTGCATAATATAATTTTACTATCAATATTTTAATCAATTGTTATAAATGAACCATGTAAGAATATCCACCACCCCATATCATCCCGTGGGTGTCGTAAGAGGCGACAGAGGGAAACAGATTAGGGCATGGGCAGTAGCTTCTTCCTAATAACGACTAACAATAAAAAACTGCGGTTGCCAACCCGCTTGCCAAGCGTTACAACTATGGTAAATATCTCTCCTATGAGGGAATAATATAATTTATGAGGGAGGACTTTAATAGGCTGCAAAGGTAACGGTACTATTCTAAGCCATAGCTTGACTACAATCCCACCTGATGGTAAGTGGTGATGCTGCCGAAGATGGTGAGGCGCACTGACTTAACAAAAGCCTATTCATGCTTGTCTTGATGCAACTTATTCCACTCATTTGCTTTTATGTAATAATGGTGGTACCTTTTTCTCTTTTTTAAACATTACCTCCACACTAAGATCTTCTACACTATCTTGGTGGCAGTTTACAGACACAGATTTCACAAGAACAAACTTCCAGACACGGAACAATTATTTGTAAATCATACAAATACTTGCTCCGTGCGAGATTCGAATTCGAACACGTGACCCTCAGCGCTGCAACTCATTGCTAAGCTACTAAGGCCTATGCTCAATAATGAAACTGTTGACAGACTGCAGTGTACACGATGTATACAATACCTTTCTGGAAGCGGTTGCTGTCGTTGCTGTCCTCTGATGACGCATCATTGGGAGAGTCCATGGCATGAGTCTTTCCCTTGTCTTCCTCACCCGCCGCCTTCTCTCGTGCTAATTTCTCCCTCATGCCTTCCTGTTGTGAATTACGATATAGTTACATTATCTTAAAATATTCTTGTGTTTTAATATTTAAATGTCAATAATATTGAAAGTTCATGGGTAGGTGATCTTTAAAAAAAAACTTAAATTATAAAAGTTGACCGCTCATACCATCCCGTGGGTGTGGTAAGAGGCGACAGAGGGAAATTAATAACAATGATAATGTCCTTCAGAGCGAATTTCAGTCTCAACGGAGGTTAGATGCACATGTCAAACTGTATCAAACACAACGTCAAACTGACCCGACCAGTGGGAGATCAGGCGTAGGGCCAACGGCTTTACGTACTTTCCGATGCTCGGATGTAAAACATCCCCAACTTTCTAACTCCGCGCTGCTACCGAGAATTTCTAGACAGACAAAACCCAATAACTGAATTTTATTATTTGGCCCTAGCAGGAATTCGAACCTGGGACCTCATGATCAGCAATTGCGTTTACAACCACTAGGCAAACGAGGCGACAACGTAAGAATTTAAAATTTCGTTTGTCAAACATCCATGTTTGACTTCAAGTATAAATTATGTGTGATAAAAAGTAAGGGATCAGTTACTTACCAGCATCATATAGCAATTAGGACCGCACGGCTCAGAGAATGGTTTCAGATCGGGCCCCTTCCGCTTGGTCAAGTTCGGCCCTGGATGGCACGCTTGCAAACCTAGTATAATTTTAATTGTATAGAACACAAGTTTTGAACAACCTTTGAAGCCTCTTTCATTCTACAACAGCTAACATAAATTCTCTCAGTGCGGAAACATTTGCATTTCCTTTATTTAGCCTGTAAAGACCCATAGATGGGCATTGGCCTGTCCTATTGTAGGGAACATTTGCCTCAATTATAACGTGTGGCAAACGGATTAAAGCTCGCAGTGTGTATGCACATTTGGCAATACAGCCTGTCACCGTTGTGATTTTACATCTGGTATTAAACCAAAGACTTCTATATATACTACTAGACGGATACTACGGCACTATGAGTAGCGGCACGAAAGTCTAGCGGTAACCGTTATTGCACATAAGTCGCGTTGATTGGCTTATTACGCATAAGTCGCGCTGATTGGCTTGCGGCTATCGTTCGCACGCGCTGATTGGCTCTCCAGTTGAATTCGTGCAATTCAATTCGTGCGCGTCCCCTCCATGTTTCGTTCAGCGCTAGACTTACTAAGAGTTACGGTAAATTCTCCGTAACTACATTAATAGACTGCAAACGAGAAGACTAGTTCTTTATATTGTAAACCGCGAACGTTATTTTCAACAAGCTAACAATGGTTTTGTGTAATGTTAATAAGAAAACGATGTCATTATTTATGTGCGATAAGTACATATGTAACTTTATTCTATATTTGTCTAAAAACAACTGTCGTAAATGAAAATATAACTGCATAGCATATTTACCGTGTCAGCTACCCCCTAAGCTGGCGACGACGCGATCTTTTTTGTGATACAGGTTTTGTTCAGAGTTGCCGATGTACTAGTACACATAGAAGTGTTTGTTTGTTACTGTAATATTGCCTAAATGATAATCCCGCGATATTTTTTTTTATGCTATTCAAAAGTCGAAGCAATTTTGGTGGTATTCATCGAATAACCTACCTATACACGACCACGTTCATAAACTCACGTTCACCTATCCGACACGCGACTGCGATTCATAGTGTAGTCACACGCACGTGAGAAAAGTCTTGTAGTATATACACTTTATATCACCAGACCCTTTTTACTGGAAACGAGGCATTCCATCTCAGCCTACAGGAGTCACACATCTGCATTTTAATTCTTAATCGAGAATAAATGTAGATATCTATCGGCCACAGCATCCACTTACCATCAGGTTGACTGTGTGCTGGTTTATCGCCCTTATTCTAGAAAAAAAAACAGACTTGCAACACTAATGAACATTAAGCCATTGCTTTGGTGAAGTTATTATACAATTTTAAAATTCTATTTTAAAGATATTGTTTATCTTTATATGTTACAACACAGAGCTACAAACAAACATTTAAAAATAATTGGATAATTGATTGAGGGAGATGATTTTTAAACAAGGAATGCTTAAAAAAACAAACCGAGCAAAGTAATTGACAACACCAATTTTTTCAAAGGTGAATTATTAACACTTTCTCGTTATTTGAATTCTTAAATGAACTAGATAATAAAGAAACAGCAGCCGTAAATTAGCAAACATAAAGATGGTCGATGGAATAATTATGGTTTCAGAAGGCAGGGCTTACCTGAGGTCTGACCTCCTGTCAGCCAAACAGAATAACACAGTCTAGTAAGCCCTATGTAACATAATATTGACATATTTAATGAATTAACACTAAAATTACTTATATCTATATAAATAAAATGATAGGGGTTTGCAGTTGTGCGCGCATCACGGAAAAACTACTGGATATATTTCAATTAGGTTTTCTAAGTTTTATTTCTTAGACACTTGGCCCTTATGTAAAAAAAGTATTATGCGATATCTTCATCTAATATAAAGTTATTAAAGCTTTAAGAAACAACGATAATTATATGCACTACGTGTTAAGTGATGTGTGTTTTCTTGCCGCGGAGAAGTTTGATAACTTTGTTAATATATCAAGCAAGTATCAGCTAGTTCAATAATATAAATGTGCTATTATGGAACTATTTCCATTATTAACTTACTTTAAAAAGGCGAAGGACAAGGATTCTTAATTACGGAAATACTTACACAAGAAAATATATATATTAATTGATTTATTCTTGTGGCCAAGAAAGGAAAAGGGGAGATGTCCCGCCGGGCAAGGTGTTCTGCCCGGGGAGCAGCCAACGCTCCGAGTGGTAGTTCGGAGCTATTCTATATATACTGATTTTACTTTCGGAACTTTGATATCGCGATCTAGGCTAAGTGACGCGAGGACAACGCCGCCATATCACCCCCGTGGTCAGACCGGAGGTCGATAGTGCAATCCGATTGCCGATGCGTCCTTAATGCCGGTGGTGAATGCATGCTGTGTGCATAAGGGCAAGTGACGCCGGTGCGAACGATATGCCGGTGTGTAATGCATGCCATACTACGCACTTGCAAGTGATGCCAGTCAGAACGATTTGCCAGAGCAAGTGTCAGAAGTCTGCCTTATAAATCTGCGGTGAGTCGAGATGAAGACAAGTTGGAATGGCTTGCAGGAGCTGAAGACTGCAGAAGACGATTCTTGGGAGTGAATGGTAGGGGTACTTGAGGATAATGACGAAGGCGTGAAGTTGTATTTTTCCGAAGGTTGTCGGTTGCGTGTTCATATCCATTTTTATTTCATTAAAAAAAAATTGTTTTTGTCATGGATTGAATTAATGGAAATTCTTTTAAACAAATAAGTTAGATCATTTCATAAAATCTATATTTATACTAAACAGCCATATTGACGAATTTAACAAATAGCAACATTAAAATTTATTTTTTTAAAAATCCATAATATAAACGCTTATTACCGTATTACATAAAGTAGTTTATAATTAAGTCTAAGGTTTAAGTTAGAGGTTCAATCAATAAAGATGTACCGTACAAAATATGTTAACTAAAATGTAAAGTATGGAATTTGGCAGCTAATGTTAAATTACATGAAGACAAGGAGTCTTCTTAAACCCTCGCCTAAACTCAAAACTATCAATAAATCATGTTTTGTAGTAAGACTAGCTGATCCCCGCGACTTCGCCCGCGTGTTATTTGGGGTTTTAATTTTTTGCACGGCACCCTAATTCTTTTTCTAAAATAAAAGTAGCCTAAGTTACTCCTTGTGTTACTACTCTCATCAAAATCGGTCTAGCCGTTTCGGAGATTAGCCGGAACAAACAGACAGACAGACGGAGAGATAGACAGACAGACAGACAGACAAAAACTTTAAAAATTGTATTTTTGTTATTAGTACCGTATATACTTTCATATGCATTTAGTAAAAAGCTGTAATTGTGACATTACAAACAGACACTTAAATTTTATTTATTTGTATAGATGAATAGTCTTAAAGATCATTGTTTTACAGTGAATATTAACGGGGGCTAATAATCTTACGCTCACCAGATGTAGCTAGCTAATTTATTTAGAGTTGTTCGGTTTCTAGCGTATGTATGTACAAAAAACTATGCCTCAGTGTTCGTATTACTTAATTTTTTACACATTTTTAACCTTTTTAATTATTCTCATTCCGTAGTTTAGTTTATCCTTTTCTAAATAATATAAAATGTAAGTAATATTTCAGAAATAAATATTAATCGCTTCACTTTACTAAAAAATTAATATCCTCCACTTTGAAATCTGTCAAATATTTCACCTCATTCCTACACCCCATTCCTAGTTGCGTGGCCCTGGTGGCAAAAAAAAGTCGTGGATCAAAGGAAAGATCATTTCCTGATTGTTCTATAATATACTAAATCATAATAGTCTATGATAAATTTAATTGTGATAGTCTATAACTATAATGTACTAAATCATGATAGGTGTGTGACAAATCACGATAGTGATTTCAAGGAATTTATAGATTAAGATAAGAATAATTCAAGTTGGAAAGGATATGGATTATAGGGTTAACCTCAATATATAGTCATGCCAATTTAAGTTAGAAAGAATTGCATATAGGTCTGGGACTCAACAGATCATAATGTTACGAGCTTGGGGTTCGAAACAATTAAAAACTGCCGATTGAATTGCCAAAATTGACACTTTAATTACACAACACTAATTACAATCTAAAATCACACTAATAATAGAACACAGTTCGCCGTTATTTCGCTTCGAAGTATTCTCTTGTATCGCCAATTCAATACTGCCCCGGTCGTGGTCTATACCGGCCTCATATAGGGCCTCAGATAGTTTCCAGAACCTTCTACTGTAGCGACATCTAGAATGTTCGAGTACATATCGGTCCCGAAATTTCTGGAAGGATCTCGACTCTCCTAGTTCTGCTACTCGACACTAGAGGGCGCTAGTGTGACTAGTGTTGCCATGTGCAAGACATTAATAGTGGCGCGCAATACTTTCATTTACTCGACACTAGGGGGCGCTAGTGTAACTAGTGTTGCCATGTACAAGACATTAATAGTGGCGCGTAACACTGCCCCCTCCTAAGACATGCTCGTCCCGAGCATTATTGACCCCATAATAACGCGCCAGTCGATCCACATGAACAATCTTAGGAGTACCTCTGGCACCTTTCTGTATCCGGTAGGTTACATCATTGATCCTTGTCACAATCCGGTACGGTCCGTCCCATTTAGCTTGAAGCTTAGGAGATTTCCCTTTGCTGCGAACTGGATTGTGTAACCACACTAGTGAACCTTCCTCAAAGCCCTTGTTGTTCATTTTGCGGTCATACCGTGTTTTCATCTTCTCAGACGTTTGCTGGCCCGTCTGTCTGACGTGCTCATAAATGTCATTCATTTTGTTCCGCAAGTCATTTGCATAATCGGTTATACTGCGTGGGGCATCAGGTGGTATTCCGGTGATCAGGTCTGCAGGCAGCCGCAATTCTCTCCCAAAGTTTGCGAAGGCTGGTGTCACTGATGTACTTTCGTGAACAGCGCTTCGATATGACAACAAAAACGGTTGTATGTGCCTGTCCCAGTCTCGTTGCCGTTTTTCCACAACTTTTGCTAGGTACCTCTCCAATGTCTGATTAAATCTTTCTACCATTCCAT